TTCACAAAAGGCAATCTGAAGCATCATCCTGTAGGAATCTAATGCTGTCACCATGTGAGAGTGATCTTCTTGTCCCTACTGCAAAGTACCATTAGTCGATAATCTAAATGATGAAAAAACAGACAACTCCAGTTAAATCTAGCTTAGCTGGATTTCAATAGAAAACAAAGAAAGATTAATATGAAAACAACATACAAAATTGTGTCCTGTGATACTCTGGTACAATCCTAGAAACTTGAAAGCTTCCACTTTGACGCCATGACAAAAACAGCTTTGCAATTTGTTCAAAGTAGAGTAATGGTTGTCAATTCTGCACATTATATTTTATTCATTACCGTCATTTCTACGAGTGTCCTGTGAGAGTTGACTGCGCTTGACCTCAGCAGTTGTACTGATATCATAGTCCAACTGATCAGCATTCACCAAACAGTAAATTTTACCAGATTTGTCAAACATAGCACGTCGCCATAGTAACACAACCTAAAAATGAAAATTGATGTTTATTAAAATTTATTTGTGCCAATTTATCATTTTGTGAACATTTTACATATTTGTGATGTCAGAAATTTGGCTTATGCATCTTCATGTATTTCTGCATTCATTCTCTCTATTTTGAGCAGTTTTCATTGAGGCGATCAGTATACACCTTGTATTGCCCGGCCTCGTAACACGTCCGAAGTGCGCCCTCACATCAGGGCAATAATTTCCTGTATCACGCCCGGCACAGCGTGCCCAGCTTTCATCAATTACAACAAACGCGTCGTTCTAAATTATGTTGTGTGTTTGAGGTCACGCCATGGCAAAATTGTAATTAAACCTATAAGGTGTATGATAAAACATTTATGGACTGGATACAGCTTTTGCTGCCCTCGATTGTACGGCTTATGCACCATCTCAAGCTAGAGCACTCTCAACACATGACCTCAAGGCACGAAAGCCGTATCCAGTCCATAAAGAATAGTAACATGCATGTCTACTTACATTGGTGAGACCCTTGCTGTGTTTGTGATTTTGAAGTGCTCATAATTTGTCTGTATTTAAAATTTTAAAATTGATTGCAAAGTCAATGACTTAACGACAATGTTATCTCTATTTTGTTAGAAAAACACTAGGTTTTCTGTCAGTCTGTCAGTTTTTTTTTTGCAAGACTTTTTCAATTGTCTTAAAACAGACACAATCCATGTGCAAGTACTCACTTGTTCCAGAGTGGTTTGTGGTGTACATATCAAGACTTCATCATAAGAAGGCAATGGTTTATCTTTATCAGCCATATATATAGAAAGCACATCTCTTAAAATTTCATCTGGCAGAAAAAAAAGTCTTACATTTAACATTTTCATAAAGTGTTATTTAAATTTAAGTAACATTTATAGAAACGTAATCTGATTATTAATACATACATATAATATATTATACATTATTAACAAAATATTGACATATAATTCACACTAAAAATTGTTGCAGAAAAAGAGAGTGTGTTAAATGTAAATTATATACATCTCTCACCCTGAAAATAAATCACTGGAAAATTTCATGTGATTGACATTTCGGCAACTCTGGCAACATACTTACCTTTTGGTCTTACCACAAGATTTGGTTTTCCTGTATTCAAATATTTTGGAAAAAGTCTACTCAGTTGAACAAGATCTGTAAGATAAATACAATATTTTTCAACAAAAATCAATAAAATATTGGGTTTATATCTGCAGGGTGAAAACTTGTATATTAACCTGGCTTCCACTCTGAGTGGTCAATATCAGTCACATGACATGTCAAATAGTGACCAAAAATGTCAGTAGTGAGCCTCCATTAGAGACATGCATTAGTGTGCATCAACTTTTGTGTGAAAGTGAAAGTATTTAATAAATATAAACCTCACCTTTAGTAGCAAGATATTGTAATGTATGACCAAGATGCTCCAAACTCAGATAATCATCAAAGCTTATGGCTGTCAGTGAAATCTGGTAATCTTTCCAAAGTTGTTGCAGTTTTTCAATTAGATCACTGTATTGTATTTTGTATATAAAAAGTGAAAAGAAAATAATACATTTTATCTCATGTTGCACTGAGTGGAAATAAATGCTGTTCCATGTACTGTAAATGTATTTGACAATAGTGACACTAACCATAGACAGTATAGTAGGAAGGATGTGCAACTGCGGCAAACATCAAAGTCAAAGGCTGGATGCCCAACGCAAGCTGGGCTGGAATATTCTAATGAGCATGTAAACAATGAATGTCATATTTACTTCAAATCTTTTCTATGATTTCCACCGTCATCAAAATCCCCCAAAACGTTGAGCAAATCATCTACATATGTGGACTTGTGATCAGCCGCCATTTTGAAATATATTCGCAAAGACTTCTAGAATACCGCAGGTGACTCTCATCAACAAAATCACACATTTCGCAAGAGTTCATGAATCAGTTTATATCAACTAAACTTTTTTTCCCACCAATCCTATTACAATAAAATAACTGGAGTTGCTAGTCCTTCCTACTATACTGTCCAAGCACTAATAAAACAATTAAAACAAAACAAAAATCAATGAATTATAGATGTAGTCACATACCCTTTAGATTGTCCTATTCCAGTTAACAACGAGCTTGTAATTTTACTGAGAGAACTGACTTTTTCCCCACGAGTTATAGTTACGCTTAGTGTTTGTACATTAGTCATGGTAGAAACTGTTCTCTCTGCTGCTGGTGTGGAGTCGTCCAGCCCATCCCCAAACAACTTCATTTCCATATCATCTTCCCATTCTTTGCATAACCTTGCCATCAGTTCTTCATCTTGCATGTTTTGATAATACCAGGCCATTACATCATCAATATCAACTGCTGGATCACATGCTTGCATTGCTGCTTTGGCTTGAACTTCTGATAAGCCTTCATCTACCAATTCTTGCAAAAACTTCTTAACCTTCTCCAGATCTACCCCAGATTCCTCCGGCATGTCCATCATCTTTTCCAGCTCAGGTGTCTCCATAGAAGCATTAACTTCTATGGGTTCCATTTCCATTTCTTCCTGATTATTTTGAGAACCAACTTCCATGAATGCAGCATTCAGAGCTTCTTTCACATCTGATTCAGTACAACTGTCCTTTAAACTAGCCAACAAAGTATACACACCTGCAGCCATTTCTTTTTCATTTGACATCAGCTTAGCCAACTCACGCCTTAGAATCACAAGCTGTTCAGTTGTGAAGTAATTCAGATGATATATCTCAGATCGTTTCTCCTCCACATATTCCAGCCACTCTTTAAGACAGTTTTCCATAAAACTACACAATTTGTCTAGTTCAGTTGTCACTTCTCTTGTTCCCTTCAAGTCATGTGAGCCATCAATACCAAATCGAACCATGACAGATACTTTTTTCTTGTACTTACAATACACAATGGCTTTCCATTCAGAAAAAAGAACATTTCCTGCTGCACAAAGCTTTAAGTAGGCAGTGGCCAATCGAATAACACCAGAAAGAATCTGAAATTTTAAAAATGCGTACATCCACATTCATCAGAACAATTTTTGACAATGCAATGAATCTTGCTGAAGTGACAACATCAAATTACAATGCAATTATGATAGGAATTATGATCGTCACACAGCCCTCAAGTAGTCCCAAATGTGGTAGGTGGCTAAAAGCACTATATATATTCTGCAGTCAGACAGCTGGACAGGAGCGTTATTTTAAAAACAAATTGGCCACAAATATAGTTGTAGGTCATTTTTCTCACTATATACTGTAAATAATTAAACTATACCTCAGTAAATCTTTCCACTTCATCCCTTCCTTGTTCAGCTTTCCCAGCAACCAACATCAGTTTACTCTGCAAATCTTTCAGCATATCGAGATTGTAATTCTTATCTTTACTGGCAGCTTCATCCTCATCTCTTCCATTAATGAATCATCACCCTGGACTAACAATCTAATCACAGACTCAGGAGTATCCTAAGATTTAATAATATTTAATAAAAGTAGTGAATATATAATATAATAATGCATCTTTAAAAATTTCTATCTGTGACTAGCAATAAAAATTATACTCTAAAAACTAGACTAACATACAGTACAAAATAATATGTCTCATCATGAGCCATACTGCACCCAGCTTTGTGTAGATATACCCAGTACAGACATATGAAGACAGGATCATGCTGGTTATGACATAATTGATGCTGACTATGACATCATTAATGCAGATTATGACATAATTGATGCTATGAAATCATGAATACAGATTATGACATAATTGATGCTATGACATCATGAATGCAGACTATGACATAATTGATGCTGACTATGACATCATTAATGCAGATTATGACATAATTGATGCTATGAAATCATGAATGCAGATTATGACATAATTGATGCTATGACATGAATGCAGATTATGACATAATTGATGCTGACTATGACATCATGAATGCAGATTATGACATAATTGATGTTATGACATCATGAATGCACATTATGACATAATCGATGCTGAATATGACATGAATGCAGATTATGACATAATTGATCCTAACTATGACATCATGAATCCAGATGGACATAATTAATGCTGACTATGACATAAATGCAGATTATGACATAATTGATGCTGACTATGACATCGTTAATGCAGATTATGACATAATTGATGCTATGACATGAATGCAGATTATGACATAATCTATGCTGACTATGACATGGATGCAGATTATGACATCATGAATGATCACTGATGTCACCATTCTATCACTAAAGATAAATTTAGGTGTAGAGATATAAATTTTCCATTTATTTATTTGTTCTCCAAGTCAATATAGCCATGCAATGCAATGCTTACTAGTTTCTCGTTATTTCAATTAACAAGCACATTCTTCTTGATAAACAGTGACAAAACTGATTGAAATCCCTACCTTGGCATTGTAATCTATGTTTCCCACTGTATATATTCCTTTTGTGTTGATGGCCTCTGCCTGGCTAAGAGATGATGTTTCAACCGATCCATGAGACTCCTTCACTCCTTTCAACCATTCCAGATGATGACTGATGTCTTTCTATTTAATGAATAAATTAAAAATATACAGAAATTATAATCAGTGTTCATTATATCTATAACCGGTCCCCTACAATGGGTTGATCACTAACCTACAATGGGTTGATCACTAACCTACAATGGGTTGATCACTTACCTACAATGAGTTCATCATTCACCTACAATGGGTTCATCACTCACCTACAATGGGTCCATTACCAACAATGGGTTCATCACTCACCTACAATGGGTCCGTCACTCACCAACAATGGGTAAATACCACTCACCTACAATGGGTTCATCACTAGCCTACAATGGGTCCATCACTCACCAACAATGGGTCCATACCACTCACCAACAATGTCTCTGTCACTCACGTAAAGTGGGTCCATCACTCACCTACAATGTATCATCACTCACCTACAATAGGTTGATCACTCACCTACAATGGGTTCATCACTAGCCTACAATGGGTTCATCACTGACCTACAATGGGTTCATCACTAGCCTACAATGGGTTCATCACTCACCTACAATGTATCCATCACTTACCTACAATAGGTTTATCACTCACCTACAATGGGTTCATCACTAGACTACAATGGGTTAATCACTCACTTACAATGGGTTGATCACTAACCTACAATTGGTTCATCACTCACCTACAATAGGTTCATCACTCACCTACAATGGGTTCATCACTCACCTACAATGTG